AATATCATCAATATCTGTTTTTATCCCTTTTGTTTTTATTTTTGGCAGTCTCGTTTAATGATAATAAAAAGCAAATTTGCATATTTTTCAATAAAAACATGTAATATTTGTTCATGCCTTGTGGCTATCAAACATCTGATGTTTATTCTACGTGGCTCTTAAGTTAAGCAAGTTTGGCCACCCCTGCGGTAGTGTATACCCCGCCAAGTCGAGTTGTCACACAAACCTTATGTTTGAGATCTGCAGTGGCAGCACAGCCAGGGCTTTTTCTGCAGGAAAGGTGCAATGGAGCCATTATATCCTACAAAACAAATGGATGCAGCTTTTTTCAGATGGATTAGATACCGTAAGGTACAGTAATCAATTGTCAGTAAAAGGTTCCACTTCTGTGCCTGTGGCATAGCAGAGGTATAATTCCCACTGCTGTTTGTCAACCCTGTTTAGATACCACCTCACTCATCTGTATTAATGTAGAATCTATAATACAAACCAAGCATTCAAATCAAAATGGCGTCATCTGGAGCTGGGTGTGGAATCTGACAGATCTGTGTTACAGATTCTTAACTCCCCTCATATGGAAAGCCGTGTCTGTTAAACCAGTTCCACACAGTTTGTAATGTAAACACACACTGAGAGGCAATACCTTAATTAGACAAAGGAGTTTAAATACCATGAGGGTGTTACAGCCACTATAAAAAATGGACATTTGTATCTGTCATTTCTGTTATTTCCTCAGTAAATGTGTCAGCTCAGATTTTTGACAAGACGTTGCTTCTAGGGAAGCTGAAGGAAGGGCTTGGTTCACATCTACAACCCAACCTTCCCTTGAGAGGGTGACTCTTGGCTTTTCACAGTCCTTGCCTCCCACATCAATTTTTCCTCAGCACAAACAATTCTTCTTTGCTTGGGTCTGAAAACTGTGCAGAGGCCAAGCCCAGTCAGCTGCACTTAATGATGAGGTAGCTCCTCCAGGCCCCTGTGCCTCAGGCAGGGGTGGGAGAAGCTTTCACTTCCTTGATTAATCATGTCTCCCATAACTCAACGGGAGGCAAGGAGGAGGAAACCTGTCATCATCTTTCAGCACATCAGCAAAATCATCCAGATTTCAATTCAAGGCTGGTTGCCTGTGAACATGCGTAAACAAAGAGCATTAGATGCTTCCCTGATGATCATTAAAGAGGACACACCTTACTGATGCACGACAATGCTCACGTGTTTAATTGTTTTTTTTAAGTGTTTCACGTTCACCAGAGCCCCACAAGTCTCTCCTAGTGATCTTCTTAGTGGTTTGTTGGGGGGGGGGATGTATAAACTGCTTCTCCAGAAAGCAGCTCAAGTCAAATTAAAAAAAACACATGAAAAATCATAAAACAGCATAAAATCAATTGAAATGAACAAACTCAGCTAATTAAAGCCCCTGTTAGAGCATAAAAACGACACAAAACATTTGGCAGTCTGAGACAGTCCTCCAGGGAGGAGCAACTGTAAAAACCATTTAAAAACCAAACTCCCAAGTTAAAGGTCTGAGTGATGAGAGAGTTTTTGGACTGGTGCCCAAAGGAGTGTAGAGTAGTTGCTAGGCAAGCCATAGGCAAGGTGCCACCATGAAAAAGACCTTTCTTTGGTTGCTGCCTGGCTCTGCCAAGAAAGTAGGGATCTGTGAGGAGGATCTTGTGAGCTGTCTCCATTTCCTACAACGCAGGGGGTCTCCAATTTTGTTGAGCACATGGGTGCTTGAGGAATTTAGAGAACGGGGAGTGGGCACCGTCACAAAATGGCGACCATGGGATGCTTGATCAACTAACCAAGTGCCATCTTGCGATGGAGGAAACTGTTTCCAAATGGTGGTCACAGACTACACAAAGGTGATGCCTCCTGGGGTGTTTTGAAGCATGTCCTGCTCCAGTGAAGTGGAGGAGAGCTAACAGTGGTTAATTTCTTTGGAGGAAAAGCAGACGAGCGCCAAGAACCCCATTGGTGGCCACCGTGGCACCTGGGGATCACTGTCTTAGTGCAAGGAACTGCCCATAATTATGCGTTCTGGCTTCCACCTTGTGGAATGGCCTGCTTGACGTGGTCAAGAAGACTCCCACACTTCTGGAATTCCACAAACCATGTAAAACTATGTAAAGGTAATTGCTTTTAAATAGCATAATGGTTCAAGAAGATGCCTTAATAAAGGAAATGGGATGACTACTAAAGATGGCAGCAAAGCAAGTGAAATTCTGGAAGATGGGCAGTTGCTTAACAATGTCCGGCAGTCCTTAAAAAAACAGCTGCCATTTGGGAGACAAGGCAGAGTGAAACATCTGTCTGGAAGCAGCCTCAGCGTGAACACTGCAGCATTAAGCATTCACAGAAGAATTAAGTGCTTTAAACCCGGCATTTGTGGATACCAAAGGAAAATGTTCTCGGGAACACTCCCCTCCCTCCTTCTTTAAAGCAGGGGTGTCGAACTCATTTGTTATGAGGGCTGGATCTGACATAAATGAAACCTTGTTGGGCCGGGCCACGTGTTTCATAACACCCGTGTTAAAAGGTAGCGCAGATATAAACTTTTTAAAGGACACAAGCACAAAGGTTTTTTTTTTACTTAAAATAAAAACATGCTTAAAACTGTTAAGTCTGCGCTCAACAAAATAGCCAGAGAGTGATTCAGCAAAACTCAGGTTTATTTCAGCTCACGATCAACTTCTCTGACACGGTACAACTTCTCTTGATAGCCCGAACTCAGTACTGTTCTGATCTATCCATTGCAGCTTGTTCAGTATTTAAACATTCCGGGCTAATATAGCCACGCCTACTATACAGATAAACAACCTATCAGGTTGAGACAATAAGGACCAATCAGAGTCTTTCCCGCTTATATACATTTGAATCCGATTGGACGCAGTAGTCTTGAACTTCAATCCCTGTTCAAGACGAAGCTTAACATTGCTTCTCTATGAGATGATTCACAATCATCTTAATGCATTCTAGGCAGCATAGAATACATTACAAAAACATTACCACTCTTGCAATATTTTATTTATTTAACAGTGTCTGATAACTGACACCTCTTGCTCTGAATTATTGCATCAAAATGTCCTGTGCTGTTGCAATCTTGAGTATGCTGTTCAGGTGTGTATTCGTAAGCTGCAAAACGCAGCAGAAGCAGAATGGGAAGAAGCAGCAGAAGACATCCAGTTCCACTGTGGGCCTGATAGAAGCCCCGGGGCCGCATTTTTGACACCCCTGGTTTAAAGGAACTGAGAATAACATCCATGTGTTTTTCCTTTGCTCTACTTTGTGAACTCATTGAGAGAGGGGGATTGGACCACAGTGGGGATCTTGAATTGGCTTTTCCCAAGTGCTGCCTAACCAGTACCCCACACTGGATCGACCATTTCAGCTCTTCTTTCAGTGACTGAAGGATTCCTCAGAACGGGCATACAAACACATTTCTATTCTACCACATGGTTTCATTGACTAACCCCCCACCCCACCCGTGTGTGTGTGGGTGCCTGAAGCGCCCGCGCGCCTGTCTTCCAGCTATGCATCCACCTCCGGCATCTGAGAAACTCGGCTGGCTGATGGCCTTTACTATAAGAGACTTAACGGCCCCCCTGTCTTCATGCGACCAGTCCTTCAACTTATATGAATGCTATGGTCAGTGTATGTGGCCATTGGCCGTTACAAGTTAAAACACACCAAAATTTTAAAATACAACATCCGTATTCAGATATACACTTGTCCACTCAAAAATGCTAATCACCTTGAATTTTAAAAAAGAAAACATCCATCTCGAAAGATTCACAGGCAGATTCCAGAAATACGAATCACACATCAGGAGGACCTTCTATTTCCTTCATTTAGTTGCTTTCACGAGAACCGCCTTTGCTTTGCTCTGACCTCCCTAGCTGCTATTGCAAAAAGTGCCACATGCATGCTGTGGAGAAGCGCTGCCATTGGAGGTGTCGCCGGGCCAATCGGCCCCACCCTTTATAGCGGCTGCAAACGGAGGTGTGTTTTAAGCACTCCACAGTAGGACCAGCGTCCTCGTTTTCCGGCTTTTTTTTCCCCCGAACTTAAAAAAAAATCTATTTTCCTGGGATCGAATCCCTCTCAGTTCCTGCCGACGTCGTTTGTTTCACCCACGCCTTAAAGCCGGAGCGACGGGGGGAGGTCCGGGGCCCTCCTCTCCCTTCCCCCCGTCTCAGTTTTCTTCCACGTGTTGCGTTCAGAGCGCTGTGGTTTGTTTTGGGCGGGTTTTGGGTTTCTTTTTTTTTTTTGCAAGGAGGGATTTCGCAAGGCGAGTTTCGCGTCGCCCGCAAAGGAGTCGGGCTGCAAAAGGAGAAGTGGCGACGCTGACAACACTCCGAAATCAGCTGTCGGGGAAGAAAAACCAGAATTCTTCCTCCGGAGGGCGAGGGAGGAAGGGCCGAGGCAGCCCGGCCAGCGCGCTCTGCTCGTCCAGCCTCGGTCCAACTCCTCTTTGCGGGCGGCAAGCGGCAAAGTAGCGCGCCGCAAACGCGGTGGTGGAGGAGGAGGTGGGCTGGGCTGCGACCTCCCTCCCTCCCTCCCTCCCTCGCCCGGGCGGAGAGCGCGGGAGGCGGCAGCAGCAGGAGGACGCCCTGCCTGCCTGCCTGCCTGCCTGCCTGGAGCTGGGCGCCCCCTGTGCGCAGTCGGCGCCTGGGCGGATGGCGGGTTCCGCTCTCTGGCCGGCCCGCGACTAGAGAGGCGCCCCC